AGGGAGTCATTTTTCTGTCCTCCCCCAACCCATTTTCACCCCTGGGGAGCTAAGGGATAAATGGCTTAGGACTAGTTTACAGTTGGGGAAACTGAGGTTCTTAGCTGGTCTGTCAAGTAACTGGCCCAAAATCTGTCAAAGAGCAAATAAGCCTCAAGGCTGGCGGGACTCCAGGCCACGGACAGGAGGGCCAACTCACTAACTCAGGGTTTCTTTTTGGGAAATTGCTATACCTTCAAGTCTAAAACATTCCTCCCAGCAGAAACCCACGGGTTTTTGTTTCCAAGCAGGTTTCAGGTAGAAGCCGCTGCAAAGGCCATTGGTTCTGCCCCTGGGATAAGAGAAAAGAGACATTTTTTTTTCCTGGGTGGGATATTTAAAGACAATGACCTTTCTCTGTGAGCTAAAATGCTTGGATTTCTCATCTGCTGGAGATGGTTTGAATAATGAATCATTTAAACGGACTGAGCTTTGCGTAGAGATTGGCATCAGATGATGACTCACTAAAAATGTCCCATTTTATTATCCTAGATGGACTTAAGTGATATTAAAGATTCATACGTGAGGACAAAAGAGATTCCATTCAGCTCAGAGCAGAAGTGGATGGCAGTAAAATGCAGCCCGAAGAATGAGGTGAGATCACCTGTCTACCCAGCCCACCCTCCCCCAACCAAATATAGCAAAAGGCAGAGAAGAATTTAAAGTTTCTAGCTACTTCTATGAGGTTCCAAATACATGAAATTATAATCAGTAGCAATCACTAATGCTCTTGGGCTCTCTTCCGGGCTTTTCATCTAAAACAGCAGTTCTCAAAGTGGGATCCCTGGACCAACAGCTTCCGCATCACCCGGGAATTTGTTAGAAATGCAGATTCTCAGGTTCCACCCCAGACCTCCTGAGTCAGAAAGTCCAGGGATAGGACCTGTTGACCTAAAAGAAACTGAGGCCAAACATATAAAGCACAGGATTTATTGAGTCAAGATGACAATTGCAAGATGGGAAACGCATAGGTCAGGTCACCCTGAGAAATGCACTCTGTGAAGGAGACCAGCAGAGCTTAGCGTTTGATAATCACAAGAAAGGGCGAGAATTGAAGGGGAGAGAAGAGGCCAGCCTCCGTACTCATTACATCAGTGTTTCTATGGGTTGTACATGATGTATATAGATCTGGGATTGTTACTAGGTTAGATCCTACATGCAATGATCTAAGGGAAGGGTTACAAAAAGCACTCTAGGTTATTTTATTACTTTTCTAGTGCCAGTACATCTGCTTCTAAGTTAAAATGGTCTAATGGTAATGTTTTCCAGGACATGGGACATGACTACTGATATTCCAGATCTCCCAAGTCACTATAACTTAGCTGACCTGGTCAGAGCAGATATTTTTATTTTATCAGACACAGCAGCCTGTGTTTTCTGGGGATTCTGCTGTAGGCTCAAGGGTGAGACTCACTGGCCTGTAACATAATTACTGAGTAATTACCACTGAGCAACCGTGAGCCCCTACTGGTAACATGGACCCCCACAGCTAACTTGTGTGTCCTCTCTTTACATCCCTACGCTAAATTCTTTACATATATTAGCTCATTTAATGGGGGGAACAAAATCCTTCTTTACTGTAGGGGCATCTGGGAGGCACATGGCAGCATCTGCCCCAAGTGGTGTGGACAACGAGCTCACACGTACACATGTGTATGCACAGACACACGTGCGTATATACATGTCGTAAGTGACTAGAGGATCATAAACCGAACTGTTCATGGCTGCCCCTGGGTGGGGATTACCGCTGATTTGTTTCTTCTATTTTCCTTTTGAGATTTTCTGTGCCTTTTCAGATTTCTTTAATGCAAAGCTATTTCTAAAAAAGTTTTGTGGCATCTACCTGTTCCTCCCGCCCTCCCCTTCTCTCCTGCTCTTTCTGGAATTTGTCGTGTCTGCCTAGGCAGAGACTTCTCATCTCCCATTCAGGGCTGTGGGCAGCTTAGCCAGCTCATTCCAGCCCTGGCCATGCACAGATAGATGTGTAAATTTGGGGTGCTTAAAAGGGGTTGCAGATTTAAAATTTTTCTTATACCTTCAAATCTTTTTTCCCTGAGGTAGTAGTAATATATTCTCATTGAAAGAGGTAAAAATATGATGTTAAAAATGAAAGCTCTTTATACTTCTGCTCTTCCTCTCTCTCTACTCACCAGAGATAACTCCCCATTACAGCCTGGGTTAGAGCATCCTAGATTCTACCTGTGCACGTAGCTACACCTGGGGTGGCAGTTTTCAAAACGAGGTCACACTGTACATAGTGTTTGTAACTTGCTTTTTTCCTATAAAATTTTCCCTTAATGTTTTGTCTTAGCTACCTGTCTGTGTCGGTTAATATAAGCACATTCACCGTATTTTCTATGTACCCACCGTGAGCAGGGCAGGCATTGCACCTATGCTGGGGATACACCATGAATTAAACAGACCCAGAGCCTGCCCACACGACACGCGTGGTCTACATAATTGTTAAGATAGATTTTAACAAACACACAGGAAGAATGATCAGC